TAAGAATTTCCTAATTTTTTAACACATTTATGAGCAATATAAGATCTTCAATATATAAGCCTATCTCCGCTTGCGAGTTCCACCCTCCCGCGCCCCCGCCTATCACCCACCACCAATCTCCGCCCTTCCTCAGGGGACCGCCATAACTGAACCTTTCACCTAAAAGAATCCATCGACTCTGAAAATTTGTCAACACCTACACATATCAATTGCAGGTATGCATATTTATAGTTTTGACTTTTCTAAAATACGATTACTCCTCTCTCTTTCAGTTTTGATGTTTTCAAGCCCTGATCTAATGTCGTTTTTGCCCGTATGTGCAATTATATTAAGTTATTCTTGGATTTCTGCTTGTTTAGATTCTACCTCATTAACTAAAACTCAGCCCCGATCCCTTTATGTGACAAGTTTGTTAGGTTTTGGAGGTTTTTAACCAGAGTTTACATCTAGCTTCGCGGGTTTCCACTGCTATGTGGATGTTTTACTTTAAGCGCAATAGTTGATGCTATCTTTCAAACTCATGGTTCAAATTTAATCCCCTTTTTCCACAGCGTGCAGATATTGTGATTTATACTTATGAATGGCGTGGAGGGAGCTTGGGAAAAAGGTGAGAGTTGTTCCTTATCATTCTGCGTAATGAATTTTGGCTTTTCATCGAAAACAACAACCCTTATGAATTATGTTCTGTTGTAATAAGGATATCCAAGATGACGTTTTGAACCAAAACGAGTTCCCTATTTTCTTCAACCACGGAAAACCATGTTTATGAATAGTCCTTTGAAATTTTTACTTGAAAAGCTTCCCTTCTGAAGCTCTGATCCATCACACCTGCAGCTATCAGTGTCACTATTATAAAATCGAGTCAATTGATAAAGAAGAAAAGGAAAATTGATTGAAAATCTGAACCAGTGCACATGTATGAACCATGCACAGAAGGTGTTTGATAAAATGACAAGTCAAAAAGAAAATTGTTTCTTTCCAATTTCTTCTTTAAGGATGTCCTAGTTATCTCTAAAAGTGGTCATAAATCTCAGATCCTATGGAGGTTTCGTAATATAGATTGTTGAATTCCATTAAAAATCCCACATCTTTCTTTTCTCCATCTATCCTGAACAATTTCATAAGCCTTGTTTAAACTCAATCAAACTATCTGATTTTGCTGATCTTTGTTTAAGCTGAACTGACTAGTTTTAAATGTTTATAACTTATAACTTATATCCATGCTAATATATATAATTATATATCACCACTACTGTCTTTCAGAGCATTCGTGCTAGTCTTTCAAGACTTCTGACTCCAACAACATCCAGACATACAGCTCTATCCAATTCATTCTCTGGCCTAGATTTAAAATCTTCTTCACCTTCAATTCAATGCATACAAGGTAAATGTAATCCCCTTGTTTTTTTTTTGAGTTTCTATATGATCAATGTTGTTAATTTTCTTTGAATCAGAATCCCATCTTTTTCACACCACCCCACAACTCCTAGGCAGAAGAGGAGACAGAGATGATACAGTTGGTCTACAAACTCATAAAAAAGGGAAATTCAAAAAAAGACCCGAAAATGCAAAACCACCAGTCGAAGCTCCATACATCCCTCCTAAACTCAAAAAGCCCACCAAATCATCTGCAGATAAAACCATTGAAATATTCGAAGGCATGACAACTTTAGAGCTTGCTCAAAGATGTGGTCAATCTGTAGCCATGTTACAGAACATCCTTGTAAATGTGGGCGAAAAAATCGGGTCAGAATTCGACCCGTTAGGCATCGACATAGCTGAACTAATCGCAATTGTAAGTCATTCTTTCTTTTTCACTTAATCTTCACATAATCACTCAATGGGTGTTATGTTACTTTTTGGTATTTTTTTAATAAACTAAAATTACAGGAAGTTGGGGTAAACGTGAAAAGGCTGTATTCATACGAAGGCTCAATAGTTCTCCCGCGGGCCCCAGTGGTAACAGTCATGGGCCACGTGGACCATGGTAAAACCTCACTGTTAGACGCGTTACGCCAAACATCAGTAGCAGCCAAAGAAGCAGGAGGCATAACACAACATTTAGGTGCGTTCGTTGTCAGCATGCCATCTGGCGCTTCCATAACCTTTCTCGACACACCTGGACACGCTGCCTTCAGCGCCATGCGTGCACGCGGTGCAGCTGTCACCGACATCGTCGTCCTAGTCGTCGCTGCTGACGACGGTGTCATGCCGCAGACAATCGAAGCCATGTCACACGCCAGGTCAGCAGACGTCCCGATTGTCGTCGCGATCAATAAATGCGACAAACCCGCGTCCGACCCGGAGCGGGTCAAAGTCCAGCTGGCGTCAGAAGGGTTGCCGTTGGAGGAAATGGGCGGGGATGTGCAGGTGGTTGAAGTATCCGCGGTTACTAAAACGGGTCTGGATCGGTTAGAAGAGGCTCTGCTTCTTCAAGCGGAATTAATGGATTTGAAAGCGCGGGTTGACGGGGCGGCTCAGGCGTATGTGGTGGAGGCCAGGCTGGACCGGGGGAGGGGCCCGCTGGTGACGGCGTTGGTGAAAGCGGGGACTTTGGTTGTCGGGCAGCATGTGGCGGTTGGGGCGGAATGGGGGAAGATACGCGCGATTAGGGATACGAGTGGGAAACCAACCAATCAGGCGACGCCAGCTATGCCGGTTGAGATTGAAGGGCTGAAAGGGTTGCCAATGGCGGGTGATGATATTACTGTTGTGGATTCGGAAGAAAGGGCGAGGATTTTGAGTGTTGGGAGGAAGAAGAAGATGGAGAAAGATAGGCTTAGGAAAATGAATGAAGAGAAACTTTCTGGAACAGAATCGTTTTCAGAAGAAAACGAAAACGATTCTGTTCCAGAAAGAGTTGAACTGCCTATCATCGTCAAAGGCGATGTTCAGGGAACAGTTCAAGCTGTTACGGATTCGTTGAAAAGTCTTAATAGTCCGCAGGTTTTTGTGAATGTAATTCATGTTGGAGTGGGGCCCATTTGTCAGTCGGATTTGGATTTGGCACAAGCCACGGGCGCGTGTATTGTTGGGTTTAATGTGCGGACCCCACCGCATTCTGTTACTTTGGCTGCTGCTCAAGCCAATATAAAGGTATGTAAATCGTAAAGTTGGTGCTCTCTTTTATTTTTGTTTATATAATGTGTAAGTAAGTAAATGTTGTTGTAGATCAAAGTGCATAGAGTGATCTACCATCTTCTAGAAGACATTGGGAACTTCATAGTGGAAAAAGCCCCTGGAACATATGAAACAGAAGTAGCTGGTGAAGCACAAGTGCTCAACATCTTTGAGCTGAAAGGAAGAAGCAAATCCAAAGGAGATGATGTCAAGATTGCTGGTTGCAGAGTCATGGATGGTCAAGTCATGAGGTCATCAACCATGAGACTTTTGAGAAGTGGTGAAGTTGTGTTTGAAGGGTGTTGTGTTTCTTTGAAAAGAGAGACTCAAGATGTTGAAACTGTTCAAAAAGGGAATGAATGTGGACTTGTTCTTCGCGATTGTTTTGATTTCCAGATTGGTGATGTTATTCAATGCTTGCATCAAGTTAACAAGAAACCCAAGTTTATATCTTCTGAAAGTGGGGCTGTTCGTATCGAATGCTAAGTTCATATCCCTGTTTTTTGTTTCAAGAATTTATAACTTATATTGAGAAAATTTTGTCGTCTCTTGTTGTAAACTTGAGGGATCATTAGAGAAAGTTAACAATAATATTGATGGGACAAAAAACTGTAATTTTATCCAATACAGTCTCAATCCAAACTGTTATGATGTTATGCTATGTTATATCTTGTGTTGTGGTGTGTAAGCTTTAGTGGCTTATGCCCTATTTTTCTTTTCCTATTAAATCATGAATTGATAAAGGATATGGAATGGATAATGATATGTGGTATAGATATAGTTTTTGGACTTAATGCACCTTGTATCTAAATAAATCATTATTTTATCATTATGTATAAATTTGACTACATTTGAGAGATAACAAATGATTATTTATTTAATAATTGTTATAAATTAAAACAATATATTTACACATTAAGTTTTTATAAAAGTTAAAAAAATAACATTATTAGTAACTTAAACCAAACATCATTTTATAATATGTTAAAATAAAATTAAATTCAAACAATTAATATTTACATATATATAATATAAAAGCAAAAATAACAACCATATAAAATTTGTATGATATTTACATACATAATAGTAGATAACTCGAGATATAAGCATACAAATATATTTCATTACTCATAATTTTCGATATAAAATATAACTTTTATTGGAAAAAATATATGACGAATCAGGAAATTAAATATAAAATCATGACTTAACTTAACTTATTAGGACGTTTAAATTAAGTAAAATAACAAACATATATAGCTAGATCACTAAGGCTTTTTATACATCAAGTCAACTAAGTAAAAAAACACCAACTTATTTGTTAAAAAATGTTGAATTAGGGTAGAATTTGATAATTGAATAATCTCGGGGGATGATAGATGGCAAGTAAGATAGATTTTCTCGAAGAAGAAGGTAACGACACAGCCTTTCGTGGGTTGTGCAGCCACACAACGTTTCACTCCCTCGACGAGTCCGTCGCCATTCACCAACCCCAAAAATCTCGATTTATAAGCTTTCATCTGCTTGCATCTCTAAATCCTTATTTTTATCAAAACCCTTTCACAATTTCTATTTCTCTCAAAACTCATCAATGGAGGCTGCTGCTCTCTCGCGTATCGGCCTCGCCGGACTTGCTGTCATGGGCCAAAACCTAGCGCTCAACGTCGCCGAGAAAGGGTTCCCGATCTCCGTTTACAACCGGACTACCTCGAAAGTCGATGAGACTCTAGATCGAGCTCATAATGAAGGCCAGCTTCCGTTAACTGGCCACTACACTCCTCGCGACTTCGTTCCTCTCGATCCAGAAGCCCCGATCTGTCATCATCCTTGTTAAGGCAGGCGCGCCAGTTGACCAGACGATTGAGGCGTTGGCGGCTCATATGGAACCGGGAGACACGATCATCGACGGCGGTAACGAGTGGTACGAGAACACCGAGCGACGAATCGTCGAAGCGGAAAATAGAGGATTGCTTTATCTCGGAATGGGAGTCTCCGGCGGCGAAGAAGGGGCGCGAAATGGGCCGTCATTGATGCCAGGTGGGTCTTACGAAGCTTATAATAACATTAAAGATATCGTTGAAAAAGTTGCTGCTCAGGTTGAAGATGGACCTTGTGTTACATACATTGGAGAAGGCGGGTCTGGTAACTTCGTTAAAATGGTTCATAATGGAATCGAATATGGTGATATGCAGTTGATTTCTGAAGCTTATGATGTTTTGAAAAACGTTGGTGGGTTAAGCAACACCGAATTAGCTGAAATCTTTGACGAATGGAACAGAGGCGAATTAGAAAGCTTCTTGATTGAAATCACAGCTGATATCTTCAAGGTGAAAGATGAACATGGTGAAGGTGAGTTAGTGGACAAAATTCTAGACAAAACAGGGATGAAAGGAACCGGTAAATGGACAGTCCAGCAGGGCTGCTGAACTCTCCGTCGCCGCCCCCACCATCGCCGCCAGTCTTGACTGCCGGTATCTGAGCGGGTTAAAGGACGAACGAGAGGATGCGGCCAGGATACTGGCGGCAGCAGGGCTGAAGGAGGAGGTGGGAACAGTGAGAAGTGGGATTGACAAGAAGAGATTGATAGATGATGTCAGGCAAGCTTTATACGCTTCTAAGATCTGTAGTTATGCTCAAGGAATGAATCTTTTAAGGGCAAAAAGCAGTGAAAAAAACTGGAACTTGAATTTTGGAGAATTAGCTAGAATTTGGAAAGGAGGGTGTATTATCAGAGCTGTGTTCTTGGACAGAATCAAGAAAGCATACCAGCGGAACCCTAATCTTGCAAGCTTGCTGGTGGACCCTGATTTTGCAAAGGAGATGGTGCAGAGGCAGGCGGCATGGCGGCGGGTGGTGGGGCTGGCAATATCCGCCGGAATCAGTACACCTGGCATGTGTGCCAGCTTGACATATTTTGACACGTATAGGCGTGCTAGGCTTCCTGCAAATCTTGTTCAAGCTCAAAGGGACTTGTTTGGAGCTCATACTTATGAAAGGATTGATCGTGAAGGAGCTTTTCATACTGAATGGACAAAGCTTGCGAGGAAGAAGGCTTGAAACTTGAAAGAGGTCAATCAAAAAATGGTAACTTTTTTTTTTTTTTTTTAAATTGGTGGTGAAATGAACTTTCTTGTTTTTGCTTCTTGAATTATGTGGTTGGTGTATTTCTTGATGAGGAGGATGATTATTGATTCTCTCTATTCGGGCATAGCAATTGTTGTAGAATTTTCTTTGCATTATTAATAAGTTTTGCATGCCATTGAAGCATATTTTGTGTTTTTTCCGTGATTTGGATTTCATAATTATTTAAATATGTCTGGTTTGGTATAATTTACGAATTTGACCTTGTGTAGAAATTGGTAGCAGAAGCCATAGGTACGAACATGATATTGAGACCTTTTCAATGCATCCATGGATGGGATGTAAGAAATTTCATGGGACAAATCTTTGAATGATGAAGTAAGTGTAACACCCTAATTTTGAAATTTGAATGATGAAGGGGGTGTAGAATCATGTTTTTTTAGCATAAATATATTGATGGTTATTGGATGTTTGTGTTGTGTTGGTAGCGCAACGTACGATAACTAAATGAGAAATGAAAGATGTTTAATTTCTCTTACTCTTTTGGACTCAGTCTCACTTTTGGTTGGTAGATAGAACACCCTCAAGTCACAAAGTGTTATTTCTAAAAGGGATAATGACTTGAAAGGGTAACGAACTTTCGATTTTGTTCACATTTAGTCACTAAACTTTTTTTCGTTATCTATTTGTCATTAAACTATTGAAACTGTTCACGTTTTACCCTTATGACCGGCTGTTACCGGTCATAAGGGTAAAATGTGAACAATTTCAATAATTTAGTGGCAAATAGATAACGAAAAAATGTTTAGTGACTAAATGTGAATAAAATCAAAAGTTCGTTTCCTTCTAAAAAGTTTAATGACTAAATGTGAACAAACTTCATCTTGTATTATGTTTTAGTAAATTATTTATTTTTGTTAAATTGTACCAACATTTGTTGATGAAGAAGTCTATGAAATAAAAAACCAAAACCTTGAAAAATATATTAAAAAAACGAAAAACCGAAACCGAAATAAAATATCAATGGTTTGGTATTTTCTAAAATAAAAAATCACAATTTTCCAATCTAATTTTGGTTTTACAAATATTCAACTTTCGGATTTCCATATCTAAATCTCTCCCCTTTTTTATAATCGAAAAATGATTATAAAACCAAAAAGGGAATGAGAAAACGCTTAATTCAGAATTTTCTATACAAAAGTCCCATTTATGACATGAGAGATAGAGAGAGATATGTGAACACCTCTATATAAGGTGGGTTCATACCACATGTAGAGGTGTGCTTGAGAGATGTAACATTGAGAGTGTTAGTGTGTGTTAATTATGTAGATTTAGATCTAGATCTTTTTTTGTAAACATCTTTCATAATCGAATGCATCTCTTAAACACCCAAATCACCATGTTCTTTGTGTGTTCTTTAATTCCGCATGCCAAATCAATGGTCATAATTTACATCAGTGAGAATGATTCATTTTTTTGTAAAACCAAAATCAGATTGGAAATTGTGATTTTTTATTTTGGAAAATGTCAAACCATTGATTTTTTATTTCGGTTTCGGTTTTTTGTTTTTTTAAATATATTTTCAGGGTTTTGTTTTTTTTATTTCATAGATTTTTTCATCAACAAATGTTGCTACAATTTAACAAAAATAAATAATTTGCTAAAACATAATACAAGAGGAAGTTTGGTCACATTTAGTCATTGACTTTTTAGAGGGAAACGAACTTTCGATTTTTGTTCACATTTAGTCACTAAACTTTTTTTCGTTATCTATTTGCCACTAAACTATTAAAACTGTTCACATTTTACCCTTATGACCGGTAACAGCCGGTCATAAGGATAAAATGTGAACAGTTTCAATAGTTCAATGACAAATAGATAATGAAAAAAAATTTAATGACTAAATGTGAACAAAGTCGAAAGTTCGTTACCCTTTCAAGTCATTATCCCTTTCTAAAACTAATCTCTAACATTAGTCTTCGTTAAAAAAGTGATCGTAAGTAAATCTTCTTTACCTTTTTGTCATTTCTATCATCATCATTATTTAAAAAATATAATTTTTTTTTCTTTTTTTCTTTTATTCGGTTTTTCGTTTTTGGTTGTTTTTGTTTTAGACCCATCGGTTTACTTTATAATTATTTGAAATAGTGGATAAATATTAGAGATATTTAATAGAAAGATATTTCTAACTTTTTTTTTTTGCTTTATATGTATCTCAAATATAACAAATATAAGGTAAATGAATATGTTTCGTTATTTTGAATTGTAATCTTTAGCAAGAACGTAGAGTTGTTGATTTCTTGAACAATTGGTATATTTTCTAAGAAGATATTAAGTTGGATATAAACGTTTAAAACTAGCATATGATTGTATTGGTTTCCTAAGAAGATATAAATATTTAAAACAATGAGAATTTAAAAATTCTCCTACAATTTTATTTCTATTATCCTCCTACCCACATTAAATGGTGACAAGTGGGCTAAAATATTATCAATTTCATTAAATGTGTCATTAAATGTGACACATGTCAACATTTGATATGGTAGGAAGATAAATAGGAATAAAATGTAGGAGAATATTTATTTTTTCTAAAAAATTGGTGTATTGATGACATTTATCTTCCGGATAGTAAACCTGGAATTGCTTCGTCTCTCGTAAGGTAAATATTCTATTCTTTTGTGGCGTGTTTTGTTGACTCGTATTCCAACTAGATGGAACTTAAATCGAAAAGGTCTTGATCTAGATTTGTTGATGTGTCACTTGTGTTAGAAGAGCGTTGAAAAGGTGGACCATGTCTTCTGGTGTTGTGTGACTGTGAAGTCACAAATAAAGTAATGTTAGGCAAAAAGTTTTTAAGTGGTAAGAGTTGATGATTCCACCTGGGACAAAATCACCAACATTTTTTGTCTGGCTCAACGAGACTCGCCGTTCTACAGTCAATCGATCCGTGACAGAAGCTACTTTTGGTGTAGTAATTTGGGTGATGTGGAAATACTGTAATGATTGGGTTTTTGGAGACAAAGTACCAAAAGTTAATATGTTATTTGATAGCATAGTTGATTTTTCTTTTCTGTGGTATACGAATAGGAACAAAAGGTTTAAGGTGATTTGGAGTTTTTGGTTCCAAAACCCGTTAATTGCTATCTCCATGTAATTGTTTAGGTTTCCTAGCCTATTGTTAGTTTTTATTATATTGTAGCTGTTACGAAAAACATGTGATCGTATTGTTTAGAAAATATTATGTGTTTTTTTTATTCCAACTTTTTGTGTTATATATATATATAGTATATATATATATATATATATATATATATATAGATATAATATATAATATAGACACACACACACACACCACACCCTATTATCTTCAGCCTCCATCCATTTAAACCCTAGAAACGAAACCCTAGCCTCCATTGGTGTGGTTCTTGAGCTTTTGGTGGTATTTAATGCATTTGGGTGATCATTGAAGAAGAAGAAGCTTATTGGAGAAGTGTGAGATTGCTTGGAGCTTTTGGATCCAACCTTTGTGCATCTTGATCTATCTTCTGGAGGGATAAAGCTTCTAACTTGATGACTCTAGGTGTTAGATCTAGTTTAAGGAGTATTTTGGGTTCATTTTGGTCCTTAGAGTCATCCTTGTGAGTATGAGCTACTCCAAGAGCTTAGAATGCTGGATCTTTGGCATTTTATGCTGTCCTTGTTCATCAAAATGTCATATTGATGAGTTATTTTGGACCATGCATGAGTTTGGGTGTTTATTATGGATTTTATTGAGGTTTTGGTCCCATTAAGCCATGCGAATGAGTAAAGTTGCCAACTTTACGTGTTCAGACATCATTTAGGGTCAAGATAAGTGTTTGGATGCTTTTGTCTTAACCATCAAGAGCTTATTTCGGATTTTGGGCCTCTGATGAGTACGGTGGGCGTACGTGGAAAGTACGCTCAACGTAATGCATAAACAACTTGTACCTTGTGCTTCGTGGGTGTATACGCGGGGCGTACTCCCCAGTAAGTCAATTTTGGGCCTTTTAAGGTTTGGGACTTGTTGGGCCATTAGACTTCCGACTTTGGGCCATGGATACACTAAGGGTTTTCTTGGAATTAGGTCCATGTTGGTTTTTGGACCTTTTAGGAAATTGGGCTTTTTGAGCAAATGGGTTGGGCCTTGGTTTTGGGCCAAGTAAGGAAAGGGTAAAATGGTCTTTTACCCTTTAGGACGTTGGATTATGGAGTGGGCCTTGGATTTTGATTTATCGGGTCAATTATTAATTAAGGTTGTATTATTGTTAGTTGGTACGAGGTTATCCGGTTCAACGACCCGAGCAGTTAGTTGGTTATCAGCGGTTTGAGGCGAGTCTTCCTTCGCAATATCCGCGGGTCGAAGGGGATATGCTTGATTATTATGTGATTTTGTTATGATATTATGTGGTAGTAGTATGGGGTAAAATAGACCCGGTATCCGGTTGAAATAGACCGAAAGGGATTGCAAGCACCCAGATATGCTTGATAGTATCCGATTGAAATAGACCGAAGGGGTAGACAAGCATCCATATATGCTTGATAGTATCCGGTTGAAATAGACCGAATGGGTAGACAAGCACCCAAATATGCTTGTTAGTATCCGGTTGTAATAGACCGAATGGGTAGGCAAGCACCCATATATGCTTGGTAGTATGTTTGATTAGTATGTGGTATTTTGGAGAACTCACTAAACTCCGTGCTTACGATTTTCAGTTTATGTTTCAGGTACTTCCAGTTTGAAATGAAAGGGCCCGAATTGATCGCAGCGCATCCATCCATGTTTCCGCATTGTGATGATTTTGGGATTGTACTCTGATGACTATTTTATTATGAAATACTTTTGGATGTTTGAATAAAAGATAATTAGTGTTTTGATAGAATTAAAAATGAAATTCTTACCTCATAATCTTTAGGACGTTACAAGTTGGTATCAGAGCATTGGTTTGAGGGATTCT